CAACTTACCTCTGTATTCTATATACTCTTCCTACTAAATTGGCAAATTTTTATTAAGGTTAATTTTCTATCCATTTTATATCTATTTCTTTCTCACCGTCAGGTTCTCAGTTGCAAATTTTTGTCTCCAAACACTCCGGCTATTAATCTATTAAGTAGGTTAATTCCTGAGCTTTAGAGTCATTGCTGAAAGCATCACAGACACTAGTACACTAGTATTTTTAGTGACATATTTTTACACATGGGGAACAAATACAGAAATTGAATAGTATTTTCTCCTTCATTTCAAAGGGAGTGAGAGTTCCAGGGATTTCAGCATCAGAGACCCATTATCTTTAACCTGTTGCTAACTCTGCAGGAATGGTCAGCACCCCACGAGTTACTCTGTTTTGCAAACTGTTTTTGTTACTCGGTTTCTAATTTTTAAAAACTATTTGAGAAAGTGATGGCAGGAATTGGGAATTGTTAGCTTTAAGAGGCTGGTTACCAGAATTTGCTCTTTGGAACACAGATATTCATGTCTCTTCCAATTCTGTAGCTGCATAGAATGACCCCAAAGCTCAGCACCATAATAATTTACTGTCTCTTTTTCTGTGGGAGCAACTTCTAATTCTGGGATGTTCTTGCTTGAAGTTCTTTATGAGGTTGAAGTTATAAGTTTCCTGGGGCCACAGTCATCTGGGGGCTTCTATAGGATCGGCGGTTCCACTTCAAGATGGCTTACTCACATGGCTAGCAGTTTTCTGCTGATTGTTAGGAGTAGGTCTTAGTTCCTCTCCCCATGGGAGCCTCCCCACCAGACTACTTGAGGCTCCCCATGACACCCAGGCTGGCTTTCCCAGAGCAAGTGGTCCAAGAGACCAAGGTGAAGCTTCTAATGCCTTTTATTAGCAAGCCTCGGCAGTCCCATACACACGGTCACTTCTGCAATGTTCTATTTGTCATACAGGTCAGGACTGATTCAGTGTGGAAAGGTACTACTAAAAGGTTTGAATAATAGGAAGTGACGCTGTATGGCTATCTTAGGGGCTGGTTACCAGAATTTGCTCTTTGAGACACAGATATTCATGTCTCTTCCACATGCAAGTACACTCACTTCCTCCAAGGACCCTTCAAAGTTTCATTCCATTAGAGCATCTACTCAAAACCCAGTAACTCGTCACCTAAGTCAAGTTCGTATCCAAATGAAGCTCCTGGGGAAGTCCAAGGGCACAGGAAGCTGTTTGGGTACAATTACTCAAATGTAGCTGCTCATGTGACTGCCTGTGAGCAAGTTTTATGCCACTCACACCCCCAATGTACTAAGGTAGGATAGGCATAGAGTAAGCACCTTAGACTCTCCTGTTCAAATGGAGAAAAATAAGAGTTACACAGAAGCAACTGGTCCATAGCAGTTCTGAAATCCAGTTAGGCACACGTGGGTAATTCCTTGATTAGAACTCAGGTCTGCTATTCCCTAGAAATGATTCTCCATGGCTCTTGGCTGTGCCTTCTGGATTCTCAGTTCAAGCACTATGACCCATACTTTCCTTTTTAAGTAAAACATAGCCTGTGTTTACAGCTGCGTAGTTTCCCGCCTATAGAAGTTTAGGGTCGAAAGACCTTTTTTTCATTTTGTACCATTTCTGTCCCTTTCAGTCCAAGCTGATGGTGTTTTCACTAGTACAGTTCTCTTAAAAATCTGTAGGCCTTCTATGAATGTTATTCAGGTTTACTCCATTAAACAGTATTTTTCTTTTTATATTGGGTTTTTGCTGACATGCTAAGGGCAAGATGCCCTTAAGATTATTAGCATCTGCCCAGCTGGCATGGCTCAGCAGTTGAGCATTGACCTAGGATCCAGGAGACTTGAGGTTCGATTCCCAGGCAGGGCACATACCTTGCAGGCTGATCCCCAGTAGGGGGTGTGCAGGAGGCAGCTGACCAATGACCCCTCTCATCGCTGACTTCTCTCATCTATCTCTCCCTCTCCGTTTCTCTCTCTGAAATCAATAAAAACATATTTTTAAAAAGAAAAGATTATTAGAATCCCTATTGTATAACTCAGAGGGTCTGTAAAATACACCAACATGCTGCCTAGAGGTTTGTTTGTTTTCTTGTTTTGTTTTGTTTTTGTCTGATTAAGTGGTTTTATGAAACACAACAATACATTTTGGAGGTCTTAGCATGGATTTTACAGTCTCACCTCATTGTCATCTTGAGAGTCTGTTTTACTGGTAGTTGACCTTTGCCCGAAAGTGGTTTCCTAATTTTTGCCTTATTTGTCATCTGGAAACACTGTAATTGAGAAAACATTTATCTTCAAACCCATCAAGTCCTGGCTTCTTTATATTTAACAGTTTCTCTTTAGCTTTTCTCTCTTCTTTTCTGCCTTTTACTATAAATAGAAAGATGTCAGAATTCTCTGTCTGGAAATGCCTGTAGCTCAATTACAGATTTCTTCAGTATGGCTTCTTCCTTTCCATGTTATCACAGGGTTGCCAAACTTCCCACTGCAGCATACACAGGATTTGGTTTTCTCTCATTTCCAATGACATTTTTTCTTCATCTTCCTTCAACCCATTACCTACAATCTCCCCCAGAGCCGTTAGGCTTCAACTAACAGTGCTTTCAAGGCCCATCTAACTTACTTGGGCATCCCAGCCCCTAAGTCACTGCCACAGTTTTAGATTTATGTTATAATTCTCTCTCAGTACTAAATTCATTATTGGTTATTTATTATCACATGACAAATCGCTCCAAAATGTAATGGCTTAAAACCATGATTTATTATCTCTCGTGGGCCTGCCTCTCTGCAAGACAGCTCAGGCATGATGGCTGACTTCAGGGTTAGAAATCTCAGAGACCAAGTTGAAAACCAGCCTTAGAAGTTACACCGGACCACCACTTCCACAGTTTTCCACTGACCACAGAGGTCAGCCCTAATTTAATATGGAAGGAGACTACAAAAAGGGTGGGAATTAATGGAGTCCCTCTTGGAAATGTTAAAGATAATGCAAGGAGAGGAGAAAAAACTTAAAATTTTAATAGCTATGTAGTAGTTTGTCCTATAATTATCTCCTCCTAGAATGTATCCCATTTAGAAAAATGAAAGGACTTGACATTTTCGAAATCCAAAATTCCTTAGGACCAAACAGAACATTGTTATGGGTGACTGATGAAGTCTTGTTTTATGAACTTAATTATACCCAATCCAATCTGCAGTGATCTGTGTGTTATGCAGCTGCTATGCTTCAGAGAAGGTCTTGTTCTCACAAATAGACCTACTCATTTTGGAATATTTCTAAGCCAGTATGAATATTTAGAGACTCCCTAGTATTCAAAGAACAGAACCAAATGATCATCTCGTCAAGAATAGTCATTAAAGTTACAGCTGTATGTTCTCTTTCTGCTCAGTTTAGACATTAACTCTTTTCAGTGTTATCTTGATTAAGCAGATTTAAAATCATGTGTATGAGTACAGCTAGTCTAAATAGATGACTCCTCCAAGATCAGCAATTTCAGAGGGGACTAAGTCAATGCAAATGAAAAAACTGTGACTTAGAAAAAATATATAGATGAGCTATACTTTTGACATTGATATAGAGCCTTATATTCATTTTTAAGTCAAGGAATTAATTTAAGTATAGTCCTATTTTTACCTAGTATTCTGTTAATGGAAAAGAATATACTACACTTCTGTGATTAACCCTTAAAGAGGGTTCAAATGACAGTTATTAGACTTTAAATATTATAAACCATTAGAAAAGGAGAGGGAAGTTTCTGTTGTCCTCAACTACTATCACTAGTCAAACAAAATAGGACATTTTTAAAAATCATTTAATGGTCAATTTCTTAAAAAGAGTTTTTATTGAAAATTTACTTTTACTCAATTAATGACACATAGTGGTCTCAATCCATTCTGTATAAATTATTTTTTGCTGTACATATACTATTCGAATGAAATAAATGTGTGCATAACTTAAGATTTTTAAGCAAATTAGTACAGTTTAAATTTGCTCTGGAGGTCAGTTTGGTGTGGGAACTATATGAAAAGGAGATGCTTTTTGGGACTTTCTAGAGATGATTAACGGGATTGAGAAACAGTATTTCCTATTCCCTACAATTTCTCTGCATAATAATTTCTGTGCATCATAATTTCCATGCAATTTTCTACTGAATAGACATAATGGTAATTGATTGATCATGCTATTTTCAAGTTATTTTGCAATAAAACGTTTAGGGTCTGATTTCAAACTTAGTGTAAGTGCATGCTGCTCATTCCCTAATAGAACCAGTTGTGTTTATTTTTTGGTCTTGTTGTTTATTTTCTGTTCATTTGAGTTTCATCTCCTACCATTTATGCTCCCTGTACCATGTGAGGTACCGTGTGCACGATCGATGTTCAGAGCAGGTTGGCTGACCTTTGTCTAAATTTACCTCTTTGTAATGTTCCTTAATATTTTATGAATTGAGAAAGCACTTGTAATGCAAGTATCTCTTTGGATTGAGTTAGACATTAATCCATAAAATAGGTTCATCTTAATTGATAATAATAAGTTTAGGCTCTTGACATCTAAATGACAGGCCTCTAGGGAATTAAGAAAATAGATGCAATGTTGAAAGTATAAGAGGAAGGCATTTGGGTGGTTGAGAAAGGTCTAAATTTTATGTTCTCATCTCTGTAGACAGGGTCAGGTGCAGAAGTACAATAGGGAGCCGTTGACAGCAAAGGGACAGGGAACTGTGACAGAGTGAGAAAGAAGATGTCAAGGAGAAAGTATAAGGAATGCTAGACCCCAGAGACAAAGATTCGTCCAGGCCCAACCCTCCCTTCTTTCCCTGAAATAACATCTCTTTCTCACAAGACTACATTCTTCTGCATTGAGCAGGACACCAGCAAAGATTAAGGAGCCAGGAGCTGGACACAGTAGCTGTGGTCAGGGAGCATCTCCCGAGGCAAGTTAGCGAAACGGGCTGTCCACAGGATTTGACATCCCCATTTTTTCTGCTCTCCCGCAGGTTTTCGGAACCAGATGAATCTTTCAAGTCACTCGGTCCTTCAGCCTTCATTCCAAGGGTGCATGCAGCTCATTCAAGTGGATGATCAACTCGTAAACTTATACGAGGTGGCCCAGAGGAGGCCGGGGAGTTTTGCGAACGTCAGCATCGACATGTGCGCCATCATAGACAGGTAAACGGCCTCTTCATCTTCCTTCGGGTCATCCAGACTTTCCAAGTTCACGGTTATGTTGTGGGATGAGTGAAACACTCACCCACACACCCACCCCTCGAGGGGTTAGGCGGTAGGAGCCATTTGCCATGCCCGTGGTCCTGTGTGTGTGATGTTAGCAGTGACGATATCAGGACATGATACACATGACAGAACAATCCGTGATGTCACGTTAGTCCATCCACCGCCCCCAGTGAATGTGAGCGTTATGCAGATGGTTTGAAAGGAACTCCGTTTATTTTTAGTTTTGCTACCTATGTCCACAAGTAGAGATGTCCCTTATCTGAACCTTGTCTTGGTCAAAACTTATCATATTGTCCCCTCAAAAACCCCCTTCCTATAGAAGAAGAAACATTAAGAAATGTTGGCTGGAAGTATGGGGACTTAGAGAAGCAGAATATTCAATGTAATTGAATCAGCTCACAAAATACATGTACTAAAATATTGCACAATCTAATCTTTATTAGTTTTGAAAACCTAGGGAGGAGCTTTTTATAAAAACTGAGTTGACCTCTCACACAGTGGAAGGATACAAATTTATATAAAATATTGTGAGAGCATTACATATTCTACCTTAGTACATTTCTAAAAATGCCTTTTCTTCCAATGTGAAAATATTTCATTTTCAGATGTTTTGCCCATGAACAAACCACATTTAAATACGAGTTGAATTTAACCTGGTAAATTTCAGTGATTTTAAAAAACATTTTTAAATGTTTTATCAGGGGGCTATCTTATCCTGAAAAAGTAAGTTCATTAATTTTGTATTTTGAAAGGTAAAAGTTCTGTAGGTCTCACTATGCCCCCCAAAAGTATATACCTTAAGTCTAATAATATTATTTCATTTAAGAGGAGATCCTTGGGGAAGTCATTCAAAGACATATAATTAACCTTAAAAATATATAAAGGCATCTATAATGAAGTAAGTTTGTTCTATATAATCTTAATAAAATAGTATTTGTGTGAATGTAAATTACAATTTATGACAACTATAGATGATAACTTTTTAAAGCCTTAATATGTTTGTAAAGAACTTGACATATCACAGTATTTATTTCTATTACATATTTTCAAATATTCATCCTGATAGCCTAAACAGTTTATATTTAAACAGAACAACGAACAATTTTAATAGAAATATACTATTATATTTCTAGTAAATATTTCTGCCTGATGCAAATGATAGCAATAACCACAAAAGCAAAGAGAGGAAAGTTTTACGATCAGATGTTCTGATATTAGATGTTTACCTATAAATTTTAGTAATTCTTTTCCATAAAGGAAGATTTTCCTTCTTAGTAATAGTTATACGGCATTTGGAGATATTTTAGTACCTTGTCCATTTTCCATGCCAGTAGCTTTAATAATACAATAATTTCTGTCAGTAACAGCCGGGTTAGTTCATTCAGCTTTTGTAAACAGGCTAGATTTTATGGTGATATTGCTGTTTCGCTTCAAACAGCGTGTTTCCCGGGCATTATACTTAAATTGTTTGCTACCTAAGAAGTACAGGAGAGAGACTGAAACATTAATGTCTTACTCCCGTGGAAAGAGTAGGAGTTAAAGTAGCCTCAACAGAATGAATGAAATTTTGGTAAATGAAGAGAGAAGGAGGTGGCTGTCCTGGTGATGATGTAGTATAGGGAATGCAAATTGCAATTTTGGGCAGCTATAGGAATATAAAAACTATTTTTTACCAAAAAGGGTCTGTCCCACTGTCCATGTTGTCAGGTGTCCTGGTGCTGACAGAATGGATGTGTTTTCTTGCCCTTCTGGGCAATAACCCAGAAGAGTAGCTTCGGGAAAGTGGTCACCTCTGATACGGGTCCACGAAGCTCCTAAAACCACTATGGAATTTTCTGCATGGCTCATTTTTTGAAGGCAGTGACTTCTGTACATTAACTACTGATGTGTGAAACAGCAGATTCCTTTATTTAACTGAAATGTCCCCAGATCAAAACCTGAATCTGTGAAATGTTTTACTTTTATAAATATGAAACAAGAGTTTGTTCACCTTGTTCAAACCATGGAGATCACTGATGACTTAATCTATGTCTGTCCCGGTGACAGGACCAGTGGGGTTCGCCTGTCCTCATATAGTGGTGACCCATGAGGTCACACTTGAAAGACACATCCCCAGCCCATCTCTTGTTTGATTTTTTTCCCCCTCACTAACTAAAATTTTGCAACAGCCCGATCTCTACCATTTTATTTTACCTAAATTCTCCCATTTTAGGTAAAATTTACCATTTTACCTAAATTCTCCCTAAGTAAGCTTACATCTTTCTTACTTTCCTCCTTTCAAATTTCAGCTTGATGATTTGAAAGCCATTTTTGGAAAAAAATAAAAAATGGATAAATGAGAACATAGGGTGAAAAAATACAAACGCAGCCATAGGCATGATTTTTATAAAATGTTTGGAGAAATAGGAGCAGCTGCAGTGATTTGATGAGCAGAACTTAGGGCCATAGTTTGGGGAAGAGGGTCCTCAGGGAGCTTTGCTGTGTCCTTCTGGAGCACCCTATGATTTCAGCTTGTTTTCTTTCTTTGTGCGTGGATTTACCCGGGGCCTGTGTTGTGTACTGGTTTGTTTCCTGAACACAGCATTGGATCAGGGAAAGAGCAGGCACTCCAAGCTATAGAATTATTCACTCAGGAGTGTGTTCTCAGCGCAGCCTTGGCGCCAGGCACTGTTCTAGGCACTTCGCATAAATCATTGAACAGAATAGATGAAGGTCCTTGTACTTCTGAAGCTCACATTCTGGAGGAAGGGGAGGAAGGACAGATGTATAAGTAAGTACCTATGATAGTAAGTTAGAAGGAATATGTGCTATGGGGGGAATGGAGAGCCCGTCAAGGGGCACTGGCATTCCAAGAGGCTGAGGTGTGGGATTGCAGTTTAAATAGGTTGGCCCGAGTTAACCTCGCTGAAAAGATAATATGGCTCAAGGCCTGAAAGAGGTAACAGAATTGGCCGATTTGGGGAAAGCACTGCAGGAAAGGGAATGGTCACTGCAACAAGGCAGCCTGGCCTGAGGCAGGATCAGCAAGGGCCAGGCGGCAGGTCTGGAAGGACAAGGGGCAGAGTTGCAGGAGAGGAGGCCAGAGAGGTCCTAGAGGCCAGGCTCTGGAGACCTGGAGGTTATTGTAAGGAAATCCTTTTATTGTGATGGAGCTAGGACGTCATCGCAGGTGACTTGAGTAGAGCAAGGATATGATCTAGCTTATATTTCAAAAAGATAATGGGCTGTGGGAGGAGGGGAGGAAAGGTAGAAGTAGCGGGCCCATTATAGTAATCCAGATGGGAGATGCTGGGGACTCAGACCAGGTGCTGGGCAAGAGGTGGCGAGAGGTGGTCTATTCTGGATGTATTTAGAAGGTAGAGCCAGTGGCATTTCTTGATGGTTAGATGAGGGGTGTGAGAGGAAGAGAGGAAATGATTTGGTGAAAGCATCCGGAAGGAAGGAGGTACGTCTACTCAGATGGGAAAATTTGTCAGAGGAGTGAGAAAAAATCATGAAGTCAGCGTGAGCATGAGCTGAAATGTCTGTGGGATGCTTGAGTTGAAATGCCAAGAAGGTGATTGAATGTAAGTATGTAACAAACATATATCAGCAGATTATACAGTGAGGTCTTGTGTCTGACAAACTGCCATGTTGACCATGAGGGCCTCTGGGCTCCTCAGTGCGTTTCCTAGACAGCCGCAGGCCTGGAGGGGCGGCAGGTGACCAGTGGGCAGGGGCCTCTTCCAGCGCCGAAGCCCCTAGCTCCGCCCTTCCCTTGACACCCTGTCTCAGGGAGGAGGGCCTCCGTCCAGCCCTCAGTTGCTAGAACACTCTGGAACAGTAAGCTATCCAGCACATGGCCCCTGGTTTCTCCCTGCGTGGTTATCATCTTGAATTGCTCCTAAGGCCTTCCATTGTTGGCTCCTCGTGGCAGACCTCCTTAGACATCCTGTATAGCTCCTGTCTCAACCCGCTTCTCTCTAACCCCTTTTCAGGCGTGGGAACCTGAGCCAAACCCCTGCAGAAACACTCGTACAACCAAAGTTAGGTTTACTCATGTCCTCCTGCAAGAGAGCCCACAGCAGAATCCTG